TCCGAGCCACCCTATCCTCGCAGCGGTTCACCTGCTGCCCGAGGCGCAGACACTCCTGTCTCGAAAACGCCATCCTATCCGGCCAGGCAGGAGGATGACACGCCAGCCACGTACCTAGAGCGTTTGGAAGCTGCGATTTCAAAAAGCGCTATCGCTAGTGTGCTCTCACAAGCAAATGACGAATTTCACAAAACCGCATTGCGCAAGTACATGCGGGGGTTCTCGTTCTTTGGCGACCCAATTGACATGGCCATTCGAAAGCTATTGATGGAGGTGGAATTACCAAAGGAGACGCAGCAGATTGACAGATTCCTCCAAAGCTTTGCGGATCGATACCACGAATGTAATCCTGGTATCTTCGCAAATCCAGGTACTAGCTTTGATTCCCTAATTTGTACTGAGCTGACTTCAGAAATCTGTAGACCAGGCATACTTTATCGCGTTCTCGATCCTAATTCTGCACACTGATGTTTTCAACAAGAACAACAAGCGCAAAATGCAAAAGCCGGACTATGTGAGGAACACTCGAGGGGAAGGCATATCAGAGGACATTCTTGAATGCTTCTATGAGAACATCTCCTATACGCCCTTCATCCATATCGAGGACACCAACCTCAATGGACGTCACCTCCCAAAGCCCCGACGAGCTCTATTCAAAACCGCCAGCTCCGATCACTTGGGTAAAGAGCCAGTAGATCCTTACACCTTGATCATGGACAACAAGCTCGACTCCCTTCGCCCAAGTCTGAAGGATGTCATGAACCTCGACGATACTTACCGTTGTGATGGCACGGAAGGACCTCCGGACATAGAAGGTCTCCATCGAGCATTCTCAAGATCTGCGGTCCTGCAGATCGTCTCCGCCCGGTCCCGTCCCGACGCTTTCATGCCGTCCAGTATGGAGAACCCGATTGACTCGAGCCCAGGTCTAGTCGACATTAAAGTGGCAAAGGTCGGTCTGCTTTGGCGCAAAGACCCAAAGAAGAAAAAAGCCCGATCTCCGTGGCAGGAATGGGGCGCTCTTCTTACTTTCTCGAAACTGTACTTTTTCCGGGACGTCAACTGGGTTAAGTCCCTCATCCACCAACACGAGTCACACGTCAAGGAAGGTCGCCGTCGGGCCGTTACCTTCAAGCCCCCTCTGACCGACTTCAAACCTGATGGCATGATGCCGACAGAAGATGCTGTTGCTTTGCTTGACTCTAGTTACAAGAAGCATAAGAATGCGTTTGTTTATGTCCGCTCTAACGCTCTTGAAGAGGTCTTCCTGGCCAACTCGGAAGCTGACATGAATGATTGGCTGGCAAAACTTAATTATGCGGCCGCGTTCAAGACCACTGGGGTTCCAAGCAAAGGGATGATAGCAACCAACTACGAGGCACAGCGCAATCGCATGAGTCGCAGGGGCTCCTCTGCGTCTTTGACAGACAGGGAACCACCATCCCCGAATCCTGCGGCCGACATGGGCGAGGACGTGCTTGCATCACAGGCTCAATTAATGCGTTACAAAATTCGAGAGGCCAACGAGAAATTATTCGTCAGCCAGAGGCAGCTCGATGATCTGTTGCGGAACGCGAGGCATTTACAGGTGCTGACTCCCGTGAACTCTAGGGCCCGCGAACAGGTCATCATGGCGGCTGGTCGTATGGCCGCCAAGCTTAAATGGGTGAGACAGGACATATGGCGTACCAGGTGCTACAGGGAGGTGCTTGTTCGAGACTTGGGTGAGGAGGTGAAAGAGGCCCCGCCCACGATTGAACCAAAAGGCCTTAAGCTCCAGATTCCTGCTCCGAGCGCTAGCAATGCTGTAGAGGGACCGTACGAGGAAGCCGAGACCATTCAAGTCACCTCCCCCATTCGGGAAGCTTCTCCACATCCAAGCTCTGCAAAACCACCTTCCATCTCTCAGCCACCATCACACCCTGCCTCGGCGGATGTGAGAAGGCCGAGCATTCCGGCATCCTTCGCTTCGTTTGATCAGCCTGATCGCGCTAGTAGGCGTCTTTCTGTTGACGCTGCCAAGGAACGTGCCATGTCAAGTTCCCCTGATCGTGCAAGCCGACTCACTCGGGAGGCTTCTGTTCTTAGTGCTGCCAGCAGAATGGATGTTGTGAGCCTTGGGTCCCACGCATCTAAGCTTACCGTGCCCAATAGTTTCGATGAAGGCGAAGAGCGCATCCTACGGGAAACTGGTCTCCTAGAAGCCTCGCGAAGGCCGTCTCTTGCCTCTAAGGACAACGAAACTGAATCGAAGCACGAGGACACGCAATCTAGGACCTCGATCGATCGCACAAGTCGAATCCGACGCAGTCTTCACCGCACCCTTCGCGATGCGCCGAGCGTACACGGAAACCACCCACGAAGCAAGAAAACACGCGACTCAGCATCCAGCCTGGCCGCGCTCGAGGATGCGCAAGGTACGCATGATGGTGAAGGTCTGTCGCGAAAGTCCGCTAGCTTTACGGTACACGGCAAGAAGGCCTCGATCGTCACCTTCGGGAGCGAATGGCAGAATATGCCGCCGGAGGAGCGCTTGAAGTTGCGGAAACCCACCCCGTCTGACGAGCCGCGAGCATCAGACCCAGCTATTGGCAGCGGTGGCGAGTCCATTACCTCAGAAACCAATTTACATCCACGCTACCCGCACTCTTTGCGGAGTACCAGCCCTGGAGCGCGCGAAAGTGTTCATTTCTATGATGAGACGGAGGAGTTCAAGGAAGCCTCTGAGACTCTTTTCCCTGAGGAGAAGAAGGGCGAGAACGATGATGTTGCCGATTCGAGTGCCAAGATGTCTGAAGTCTCCTTTCCCACCGCTACTCAAGAAGCGCCTCTGAGCATCATCGACGAGCCTATGTCCCCCAAAGCCGGTAGTAGCACTGCCATTGACGAGCAACCACCACCTCCAAAACTACCTCCTAGCTCTCCCGAGCAAGCCGTCCATGCATAACAAGCCCCCCCCTTGTCTAGGCTCTCTTTTTTTTTTTTTTTTTTTTTTTGTTTCTTACGACTTTATACCCCTATTCATCTTCTTTCTCTTTGACTTTCCTTGTGTGTGTGGAGATGCCGACGGCCTCCTCAACTCAAACTGATAGAGCATGCGTGGGGCTCCCTCCCCTCGCCGTTTATGATACTGATACCATGATTCTGTTCTGGGTTTTGATTCGAAGCCCTGAGTATGCATGCATTCGGGTTGGTTGGGTGGACAGTTTGATCGACTATGTTGAAACCTTGAGTTGATATACCGTACTTAGCATTCATACCTTGCACATGGTGGCATGATCTTGGATAAAAAAAAATACAAGGAATTTTCCAATAGAAATCTTTCATCCGATGTCGATAGCCGCGATTGTCACGTAGGACGAAAGAACTCTGCGATCTAATGGAAGTGGATTGATCGATGCCGAAAGGCCGCGTCCATCCCAGTCGACCACGCGCCAGGCCGGAGAGCGGAACATTGCGGCAGAACGAGACTGCGTAGCATGTAGTTAGTTGGTAGACGTCAGCACCAACCTCTATATCAATGGAACAAGAACAAGTTGAGAAAACAGAGGAACGATAGGAAAGTAGCTTGATACCAGAAAAGATGCAGATGACGAAAAACCAGAGTCCTTCGAGACGGAATCCACTTATTGTTTGTAGTATAGTAAATGTCCAACATATATGCAGGTAGTCCGGACGGTAATACCGGCCAGCAGTGGCTGTGAGCCTACGGAGCAAAGGGCGTCAGCTGGGGATGTCGATCGAAGGGTGGGGTGGGCGATGTGCTGCGTGTGCTGGGCGGGTTGAGCGGAGGGTATTGGGGATTCGTAGGAGCGGGGTTGGGGACCGTGGGAGTGAGGTATTGCATATACCTAGAGCGAAGTTATATACCTAGAACGAAAAGCCAGGAACAGTGGGAGCGCAAGTCTGCGTGCCTTGGTTGAGAATGCGTGTTGGTTGTGTCGCTAGGCCAGGGAGATGCGGGCGAGAGAGGATTGCTGTTATGCTGTATGCACGGTTGTGAGGGCGGAGGACATGACCAAATGTGTTTGAGGTGCTGAGAAACTAGGTTGTTGCGTATGTTGTTCTGGGAAATGGTGGGTGGTCTGTTGTTGTTGTTGTTGTTGTTGTTGTTGCGGTGTAGGGTTGTCGCGTTGTTGAGGGGTTTTGGCTGTCTATGACGCTCCGGTTGATGTTGGGGGTTTATTCGTGTCTTGGTGCAGTGTGGCGGGCTGGGATAGGGGTCTGGCTTGGGAGATGAGTCTCTACTATATGCTTGACACTCACATCTCACTTGAAAGTACTGCAGATAGGTTCCCTTGTCGGTGTTTATGCGACTCGCCTATAGTTCTTTTGCTAGATCATGCACTATGTAGGCGATCCAGAACTGTCAAAGGCATTCGTTACAGGCAACGAACATGGGAACTTCAGGTGAACCTCTCTCGGATTTCTTACGCGCCACGGCTGGGATGGAATTGTGGAGTGTCGGACTTGCTTTTGTATTGATTTACAAAATTCTAGATCAGGCTGTCTGACATTTACCTTACGAAGAGGTCGTAAGAGGGCCATCAAGAATGCTAGAGGGGACTTGCTTCCTCATCCATTGACTCAAATCCCCGGTCAGGGTCTTGATATATCTGCCTTGCGAGGATATTATAAGAGGATCATTGAGAAAGATAAATTGGCTACAAGGGGCGGCTACACCTGTTCATCTACCATCCCATCGATATCGAGCTATTACAGCTTACCCACTATGACCTGCCTATACCTATGCTGCTCTGCATTGTTTGATAGTGGCTCATTCTCAATAGACCTCAAGTCAATAAGCTCGATTGATTACCGCGGATAGCCTTGTACTGGCATCCCCGCACCCGCTACTTCACTCTACAGGGGATTTCAGCCCTAACCCTTTCTCCATCTTCGCTCGTCCTCCTTGAAAACTCATCCTCGTCGACAACTACTTCTTCTTGACGACTTATTCTCCTTGATATTCTTAACGGACAGCCACTGGGTATTGCAGTATGGTGTTCCGCGTGCTGTTCCGGCGGTTTCCCGGCGCCTTCCTTCTGCTGTTGTATTCTGCTTCGCCTTCCTCCTTCTCCTTCCTCAATCTTTCTCCTCCTCCTCCTCCTCCTCCTCCTCCTCCTAACCGTACTTGCCCTAATTATCTACTCACCTGCCGTCCTCCTTCCTTCAGTGTCACCGCAGCAATGGAGCAGGTCGACGACGATATCCCCCCGTCCCCCCCGGTCTATTCCCATCGTCGACTTCTCCTCCCCAACCATCCTCTCTACCCCCGTTTTCCAACCCCATTCTGCGCTTTACAAGCACTTTCAGAATCACGACTCTCTCAAACCTTTGTCAGAACTCAGTTCGTGCTCCATGAGCACTATCAGCAATCCCTTTCTTGACTTCCAACAACCTTTGAACCTTGTTTTAACCTCTCCCTCACGCTCGACCTCACACCCTATCTTGACCTCGACCTCACACCCCCTCCTCGGATCGCAGATCTTAGATCACGACACCATGTTCGTGGTCAACCCCATCGGGTCCCTAGGACTCAGAACCGGAAAGCCAGCCCTCGACAGCTGGAAGCTGAAGGTGCCCACCGACATCATCGAGTCGGAGGTCCACAAACTCAAAGAATTGATCCACGATGTGATGAAGACAACTGTTCGGCAAGACATTCGAGACATCTTGCGCGATGAATTGAAGGACATCGTTCGCAGCAGCCTGGAAGACATGATGCAGGGGATGCAGGCCATTGTCCAGGACACGCAGGCACATGTCCAGATGATCGAGGCGAGCGCTCAGGACATGCAGACCGACGCTCAGATGACCAAGGAACACACCGAAAGCCTGCAGACCGACGCTCAGGAGCTCAAGGAGTATGTTCATGGTATGCAGAGCAACGTCCAGGACATGCAGACCGACGTTCAGAACATGCAGATCAACGTCCAGGACATTCAGACGGACGTTCAATTGGCCAAGGAACACACTCAGAGCCTGCAGACCGACGCTCAGGAGCTCAAGGAGTATGTTCAGGGTATGCAGGCCAACCTCCAGGAGACGCAGGCAGAGATGCAGAAGATGAAGGCACAGACAGACATTCAGAAAATTCAGGCTCAGGACACGCAGGCACATCTCCACATGATCGAGGCGAACGCTCAGAACATGCAGATTGATATCCAAATGACAGAGGCACACACTCAAAACTTGCAGACCGACGCTCAGAAGCTCAAGGAATGTGTGCAGGGTATGCAGTCCAGCCTTCAGGAAACACAGGCAGAGGTGCAGAAGATGAAGGCACAGGCGGAAATTGAGAAGATGAAGGTACAGGAACAGGTTCAGGACATGCAGGCCGACATGCAGAAGATGCAGGTACAGACGGAAATTCAGATGATGAAGGCACAGGAACAGGCTCAGGACATGCAGGCGGACATTCAGAAGATGAAGGTACAGGCG